ACATGTCAACTTGACTTTTAAATCCGATTGGTCTTTTCGAAGATGTCTCAACCCTGTCTTGACCATTCAAAAGTTTTTTTTACCAGGAGTAATGGTTAGAACCACAGTGCAATCTGTTTTATTAACACTGGTGAAACCGATTGCTAAATGTACTAAGGCGGCCACGAAGGTTCATCGGCCAAAGCCATAATGAATTTAACACTAGTGGTTTTACTGTGACACTTTGATGCATAAAAATGTGCTTCCCATGTTTCAATTAGTCAACTTTAATGGTCAGACAGGGTACCCAACTGCTGAACTCAAGAAGTGCCAAGTGATGACGCTGCCAACGCCTCAGGCATCGCCCACCAACGTAATGAAGGAACTGCATCAAACACAGTAGCAACACGCCACTAAGCGGAGCGTCAGGGGAAACACCGGCAAGGGCTTGCCAATGTTCGGAGTAAACTTGGACGCAGTGGCGACAGACTAGCTTCACCGATAACGTAATCTGATGTTCGTGCGATCGCTTTTGATACAAAAGAACCAAAGAAGGGCAATAAATGGGTATTGGATTATTGGGGGAAAGCCGTCGACTTTTGGGCTGCTACTTCACAGCCCAAAAGTCGATTCATGCGTGCATTAATTGGCACACGAAAGTATCAATTAACTCTGCGCCGTCAATTTGAAAAACTTCGGAGTCTCGTTTATTTATGTGCTAAGTACCTATCGTCAAAATTTTCTTGGGATTTCGAGGACTAAGTCGGTTCCTTGAAGGCAAACTTATGGGGCGTTAATAATGTAAAATTATGGAGATTTGAAACACTACCGGGAAACCTGGAATTGATAACTCATTTTTCTTAAGACTAGCATAAAACATTCGACAAATTGACAACTGCCGACGCCCCCGTAAACATAGATGGCAATTCAAATCGAGCACTTCCTGCACCAATGATTTAGTGCTTTCTTTAACTGGAGCGTTTGGGTTTTGCTTAAACGGCAGTGATCTGAGAAATTCCTCTGTTCATTCACGATTTTCGATTTGACAGCCGGATGAACAAGACGTGTCAAAGGGGGCAAAATGTATTAGGATGATGAGCATGCGGTTGCTATACACTGGCGATAACAGATATAAGAATATCCTGCCAATCAAGCCATTACCGTATCAAGTGTTCAATGAAATTGGGAAATAATCATACAAGAACAGAAATCTTAATGACACCGATCAAAACTCTGCATGACTCTATAGAGCGATTGCTTAGTTGAGAAGGACGGTTAGACGCGAAATCAAGGAAAGCTATTAATGATCTCAAATAAAGTTACCACACAAGTGCACAAAAAACACGAAAATTAAAGAAACGTAAGCTTTAGGGAAAGGGTTAAGTTATAGGCACTACAAGACTCCTTTGATGTCAGATCTGACAACAACAAAGGACAAATATCAGTCAGAAACAGCAACGACAACGCACACAGTAGTGAGGAGATGCTGAGAGACAAAGATGACCTCAAACACAAAATACGAGCTGATAAGGGTAACTTGGTTATGAGAGGTTTATATAACAGGAAGTCATGCAAGGTGCAAGAAAGAACGTTTTAACGCCCATATGCGAACATTGGAGAAGCACATTACGAAGTCAATGTGGGGCTGAGAGAACACCGGTAAGGTAAACTACGGTTTAAGTATTGGAACAGGAGTCACTTAAAGCAGCAATTTACATAAATATCTGTTCAGGAAATGACAAATACTTTATTTGCACCGATCTACATGCAGCAGTGGATGCCATTTCTGACGCAGAATGAGTCAAAATTTTGTCAAAAATCACGAAAGCTCTAGAGTTATACAAACTGCAGACGACTGGTGATAACAGTAGAAAAACGACGCAATTGATTTATAAATAAATTGATTCTAGATAATTCGGCAAGGCAACACAGTGAGACGGCACAAAATGGATTTATTTGATTGCACCTCATCATTACAAATTAAATAAATCCTAGAAATTCAAGACTAAGAGTGTAGCACTACTGACGAAATAGTGTCTAAACGAGTTACTATGGCCAATTTTAGTGTTCTTAAAATTAAAAGTTAAAAGATTCAACAAGTTCTCAACAGTTATGTTCATGAATGAAAATCACACGGATTGAAGCTTACAGTTTTTCGGGTTTAGATCCAATTGATTCCAAAATAGCCTTTTGAGAAATTTCTAAATCCCCTGGAATGACAGGATACTAAAGGACATTAATACAGCGAAATATCAAATACACTCCGATGGAATGTAAATTTCCGGATTATAACGTAGCATAAATGACCAATCATTGTACTATATCGACCTGGAAAAGTAACCTACAAAATATACTAGCAAATATAACCTCACCCATGTTCGCTTTATGTCTTCAATTATACTGACCTTTTGGGGAACATAACGAATAGCCTAATATGCAGTTTATAAAGTACACAGCGCGTACCTCGCTATGACCACTCCGCATAACTTTATGTAGAACAATAAGAAATTTCCAACAACAGACTTGATTCGATAGGACTTGCAATTCCCGTACTGCAGGGTATAAGAAACTCGAACTCCTTTGCTGATGTGTCTCTAAAATAATTGCCCTAACGTGTTTTGGCTTAGGAGGAGTTTCTTGTGGATTAATGGCTTTTTGCATATGAGCAAACTAAAAAAGATAACAACTTAAAATAGTTGTTACCAGGGTCTTAGGGGACATTTCTTTGGCAAAAGAACTGGAACGCAGCATTCGAATCGACGGCGACTCAATGGGCACTGCGGTCAAGAGCAAACCCAGGCAAAGCTAACTCCCGATGTCTCCAATAAAATAATGACGTTCAGCGTGGCCTCAAGGACACTTATTGGATTAATTGATTGCAATTGATGATAAGGAACAGAAAGCAATAAATAATATATGACAAATGACTAATCATATTACAAGTGAAATTGTTGATTCGGTGTTTTTGTGCCAAGTCACCTGATAACATAGGCTTGGTTACTGAAATACGATTAGGTCATGCCATCTACAACAAGTATCCCGCAATGCTCAGGCTGAATTTTAGAAATAATGTAGCAATTGAAAGACTTCATTCAATACGTCAATGATTTGATTTAATAATCATTCACAAATATGTTTTCTGATCCTATTTAATATAAGGCAAGTGCACCTTTTAATTTGTCCATAATAGCAGAATTTATACTGCGAAATAACTAAAGCTTCGATAATTTGCAAAATGACAAAAGGCAATCTATTAGTATATGAAACACTTATGGTTGTATAGAACTTACAATACCTAATAAGTTTTTACATTCCCAAAACCTAGAAAATAACATTTTTGTTCCCGTGTAAACTAAATTCTGTGGGTCACGCGAAAAACCCGGATCATGCTCGACGATTAAACTTCATGTTTACCTAAACGTGATATATCAGTTGAATTTGAAGGAAATTTTTTGGCATATTGCATATTTCCCCTGCTCACGCAATTAAATTATTGACCTATTATCACTGTAATTTTCATTTCCACAAATTTGTACTGTGTTTTATTAGATACCATTCAGAGCCTTTATAACTAAATAAGACTACTACCAAACCAGATGTGACGTTTTTGGAGTAAATCTTATAAACTCTCAAATCATGCTAAGGTAGAAATAGCCAAAGCATTATTAATAGTGTTGAATTATAAAAACAGCACGTCGAGGATTTCAGTGAAAAGCATTAGCTGGAAAATAGCGGATATCCGGACGTATGCTTAAATGTTGTGACATGTATAGATATACAAAAACTGCCACGTAAATCAATGAGACTTTTTTCAATACCGGCACGCAGTTTAAAACCATATTGTTGAATCATACTGTTTCGTGTCCATTAAGTCCACAGCCGCATAATGCGACAGACAGTTTCTTTTTCACAGCGCTCCAGTCAATTCTACAAAATTGTTTTTAGTGTATCTTTTCATTTCAAACAGCGTCATCTAACAAACAACGGAATTTTCGCACTACTTATTACTCTTAGTCTTACTGAGTATATTAGTAGCAGAATTAGGACAGCTGGTGCTTTAAAACACAAACTGTAGCTTACAAAACATGGAAAAAATGGAAAGAATGGCGGGGCACTATGGGGATAATTGTGCTAGTAGTTAAATTATTTATGAATATAGACTAATTAAGAATTAAGTTTGGTAGCCTTTGCAAATAAGTAGCTATCAATTGGTTCAGCCCAATGCATTTAAAATCAGTAGTACGTGGAAATAGGCTGCAACTTCGATTAGTTCTGCACTTCGTTGGGCATCTAACAATCAAAGTGTTGCGGCCCCCTGCGCGGTTTTGGGATCCACGCCAGAGTAGACTATCTACACTAACAAGACCAGACCGAACAAAGAGTAAAAAATACAGATGGCGCGTAGCCAAATATACACTTATTGATGTAGCAGAGGTGTGTGTACCAAACCGCAAGTCACCTTGTGGAGCCCTGATAAACATTAGTCCCTGGATAAACACAGTTACGTTAAACGTTTTCACGCATATCAATTGAATTATGTACGCCCACGCTTGCTAATTGCGTTCCCTCCCGATTGCAGTGTTCTCTTGCTGCCCTCCAAAATGGCAAGATATAACTAAAATACATTTTTTTGGTGATTGCTAATTATTTATGTCCGTTGCTGTTACTTTACCGCCTGATAGTCGTATGAATTTCAATGAATGCCGTCATAATTCAGAAGTGATCAAATGGTAGAAATCCTTAGTAATTGCTGATAACCAACAGGTTCAGTAGAGCTGCATTAAGTTTTTTTATGTTCATGAAGACAAAAGAACTGACGATGGCAGCAAAAATAGTTAAATAGGCAGAAAAAAATATACACCATGGTAAGAGCAAAATAAAACAGCACACTTCAGTTTATAATAAAGAAACGAAAAGTAACAAAGGATATCTGGATGTGATCAGCGCTCAGAAGGAGACTGAACACAAAAATGTGCTCTAAAAGCAACATAGATTAGTGTTAAAATACTTCGCGAAAAAAATCATGCTGCTGCATGTAACGTAGTAAGTTCACGACAAATTTCATAAAATTTCAAATTGGAATCCATTGCCCTATCTTTCCACAACACTTGGTTTTAACATGCTTAGCTGCTGTGTAGGAATTTAAGGTAAAACTTTGTTTACACTTTAAATATCCTAATAAGCTTGGTTGCCTTAATGCCTGTGATGTTCTTTTACATTTACTGCTGGACCATAGAAAACATTATTAACTAGTGATTTAAAATATGCTGATGGCAATTAATTTTACTCATAAAAAATATTTAGTGCATCACGTATGAAAATTCTTAGACAACCAGTAAAAAAAACACAACGATTGCAATCCCTTATTGCAATTATTTGTTTTACTCGGTTGTGTCTCCTACGCCGTTTTGACTATCTTAAGTCACACTTTACTGGGCGTTTTTCATGAGTATTAAAATTTACTTGCAGAGCGATAACAATGGAGCAAAATGAAGACAGCAGCATAAATAAAAATGCTAAAATACTAGGTACAACAATAAAATGGATTATAATTCCGGTGGTTTTGACAGGTTTGGAACACTCTCGACCAAGATATCTTTCTGCCCCTGATTTTGTGTCCCGAAACTCAAGTCAGACACAACACCCTTTTATGACTGATAAGGCTTGTAATGGCGAAGCAGTGAATGCAGACTTAACTGATGATAATCTTGACGCTACTATCGAGGACAGATCAGCGTACGTACTGTTGATGTTTTATGTATTTTTTGGATATATAGCATTACTGCCCCATATCACTTGCTACTTACGCTCCTACTGATCCACGTACTGAAAATGTTTGTAATTCATACTTTGTATTGATAGCTGCCTCGAACATCTAACATTTGATCTTTTTGAAATAGTTCATCAACGAACCTTCGGATTCAGTTGAGTCACTTGGTACTAAATTTGCTAAGAATTTTAAGTTAAAGAAAGTATGCTGCAATGACATGCATTTGGTTAACTGAAATAAGTGTATTTATACATCCTTTGCTGTATTAAATAAATGCGCTAGTAGAAGGTTCTGCATGGTAGATAATGTATCAAGCTTTGGTTCATGAGGTAAAAAAATTAATCTTAAGACATTCCTCTTCATAGGGCATTTAAATGATAAGCGAATTTTCTGTTTCATTGTCCCGCTAACTAAGTGTATCGCTTAGGGATGGATGATAATTTGTACATTGAATTTTTTTTAAGGCAACATTGTCAATTTCGCCGAATGTCTAGGTATCATTTTGGGGATCAGTCAAATTACTTCCACCCATTTTTTGATCAAAATGTAAATTTTCTTGGACTAGCCCTCTTATTTTTATCCGGACTTGTTCATCTGCTCCGCGGTTACCAATCATTTTCAGCAATAAAGCCTGATTCCAGAGAAGTGCAGCTTCTCCCAATAATCCAATTTTACTAAAGTTTCGAGTTACTTAAACCGCATTGCTTGAATCAGCAGCCCTGCTGCTTACTGTTTAATAACAAGGTTGCTATGTTGCTGAACACTTAGTCTTTGGTATCCATTCATACTCTAGCGCAAACACAATGTCTGAGTGTGAGGTGCTATCTTTTTAGTCCTACTGGGGATCCTTTAAGTAAAAATATCCTATTCAGGTGCCGTTTATTTAAATGCCTTTGGACGAACAGATTGGAAGCAGCCATGTAGCTGTATTATATGTTAGTATAGATTTATGTGAAATACGACTTTTTGCATTGTATTTGTTCTGTGTAGTCACTTGTCTTAAGTATGCACTGAACAAGCGTAGATTTCTTCGTCGCTATGCATAATGTTTGCCCTCTTCCATTTAGACCATCGTCTGGTGCTGTATTCAACAATGTTTTCCAATCCACAACGTTCCTCCATGCGTACGATAGACCAAGGTATGTTGTTACTTGCCGAGTTATTTTACTATTCAATCCACTTATTCTAATTTATAGCACCAGCTTTAAAATAAACTCACACTATAGCCGTTTAATGTTAAGGTTAAAGCCATAGCTGGATGCTCATTAGCTATTTTAGCTTGTCCCTGTTTGTACTCAAATCAGCTGATGTTACTGCCATGTTTCTACTAATAAATAGGTTAAATTACTGAGGCAAAGTACAGCCACACTATTGACACAGCGACTCTAGTTTGTAATGATGACTTAGGCAGTATTATATCAACACAGGGACCTACCAAAAAAGGACCCCCAGGAAGCCAAGCGCCATCTCAAAGAATGTCGCAAAATTATGCAAAATGTCTCGAAAGAGCGTAAGTGTTCCGGTTCCTTATTTTTTGTACTATTATCTACAACGAACTAGGTTTTAGCGAAGCTTTCAAGCATTAACAACTGGATGAGTCTTTTCTTAATTAACTCATCATTGGAGTTGCAGTTGTGCAAATTTGATCAAAAAGTATAACAGTGAGGGACTTGAAGCATCAGTTTGCATCGTCTCTGGCAGAACAGTTGTACGGGTTGGAAGACTCATAACCGACAACGTAAATGCTAGCAGTTTACTAATGATTGTTCTCAGCCATTTGATGAAATAAGGTCATTAGTAATTCTTCGAGATGTACACGAGAAATCGACTTGGTTATTGCTCGTTTTCGTCAATGCCGATATTTAAAGGACTACAAGTACATGGAGCATGTGGGTATGCACTAGCAGTCTCCTGTAATACGTCTGCAATTTGGTACCTTCGTCTATTAAGACTGCCGAGTGATCCAAGGGAAAGGCGTTGTTTTGCGCCATGACGTCTCTGCATCAACGCCAATCTCACCTTCCCACTCATTAGCCAGGCTAGGGGGTTTGCAGTACGCCAATAGTGGCGAAGTTCGCGATATCTCTCTCCCACCAGAAGATCAAAGGCAATTGAAGTTTCAGCCTTTACCTCTAAGGAGAGACGGCAGTCAACCCACACATTTACCAATCAGGAGGTTTGCAGAACGCCTTGATCGATTGTAATGTAGGGAGGCTGTTCTTTTTGACATTCTCATTTTTTAATCGCTGGCTCTTGCTAAGGGTTTGTTTCTGCAAACAAGTGTGGTGGCGTGAGATATGTTTTTTTCTTAAACATTTCACCCTTGCTTCACACGGCCTCCAGAATAATCGACATCATTTTTGGATCTTTAGAACAACGAAAGATATCACAAGCGAATGCAACAGGCTCCGATAACTCCGTCAATTACTGGCGCTTAGTCGTTGTTCCGAATTGGGCGAGTGTAGGTAAAAGTAGCCGTGTCTACAACTTGTGGTGGCATGGCGTGCCCTCTGCAGTACGGAGCCAGGTAGGTGCTGTTTCTTTTTTTCTAAAATTTCCTTTTTAAAATTCAAAAAGCTGATAGTGAGCTAATTCCTGCCTTCGTACTTGGCTGGGGAATGTTCCAATTAACGGAGGCACTAAAGTAGTATTAATAAACGCATGACCAAATCTTTTGACTATCTTCATACTAGGCGGCTTAGTTTGTTTTATTTTGATTCGTTTTGGGGATTTTGCGTGATGCACAGACTCACCTGTTGTTTGCAAACACGTACAACAGGGGATTAGCAACTAAAGTGGCTGTTTTAATTTAGCCCATTCAACCCGTGTTTCATACTTATCCTGTCTAAATGTTATATTGTGGCACACCATGGACATTTTGTCGAGTTAATTCAATCTGGCCCACTGCTGGCAGTCTTTGTTGGATGAAAGTTGTCCTATATTTTTTTGAACCAGCATATCCGAGTCATGAGATGCGCCTAAGCCAGCAGAGCCTGCAGATTTTACCAGCCCGTTACGCCAGACTCATTAAGACTTAGGTCCAACGAGTTTTTCGCCGTTTGACTCGACAAGTTTCCTAGCGCCGTTGGATTGGCCTTCCTCAAGGGACGTGCATCGGCGCGTCCACCTGTCTTGCAGTGGTGACTGTTCATACAGCTGCCATCGTTTTTTGAACACTTGATGTGACCCCTAGAACAGGACTCTATTTAAAACCATTGTTCCATGCCTTTATAAATGAGAAAGTTCTGTCTACTGTGCACTTGGGTGAATTAAAATGCCTGGAATTCGCTGCACGCCGTAGCAGGTCTGTTTGACGCACTAACTGCTTTACTTGAAAGCCGAATTGTAAACTTCGCATTGCACTGCGGATTTCCACTGTGCTTGTTTCGCACATGCAAGTTGTTGCGGCAAGCGTTCAGTAAATTCACTTAATATGCATACAAGGTGACCGGTTTTCTTGACCCGTTTCAGAGGAAATCGTCTTTACTGTCGGCTTGGCGGCTCATTCCACTAAGAGATCTCAAGCAAACGCCATCGACATGTTGTGAGGGTGGGCTTACGCAAACCTTTTGGAATGTCTGGAAGTGAAATTTTAGCAACTATGATTCTTCAGTCGAGACTGAATCGCAAACTCTTTCCAATTTAATTGCGGATGAACTTAGCAGCCATGAAAGGTGCTCTTTGGGCATCTTTTAGGTATGGCAAGCAGTTATCGGAAATCCCTTGTCCATAACACGGGAACTATTTGAAGCTTGTCTCGCTCAAAGTCGTCAGCACATCCAACGCCTTGAACGCCAGCGCCTGGCTTCCGAATGTGCAGATCAGGCGGGACACCGATGGAGTTCGCGATTCCTGTCTGTTGGTGATTTTCAAGCAAACAACAACCCACTTCGACGCCTCTTGTCCCTGCCACCGACCAGTGAAACCCATGGTCACCTACAGAATGAGCATTGCCCCTCTCATCCAACGTCTACTATGGAGGGTTCAAATACGAAGGGCCTGTCTTCCACTGCGCCATCGTCCATGCCAACTTCTGCACCGATGTCGCCTTCCAGTTTTCGGTCGCTTTCATCGCAGTCAAGGGACTTAAAATCGGGTATGTTCGACAATTTCTTTTATTACACAAGGATTTGCTGCATAAGTGTGCGTCTTCTTGTGGCTGCTTTTGCATTCATAATACTCTCTTGCTGGTACCTGACATTTAGTAGCCTTTATTTTTTTGCCAATTTAAACGCGGGGCTCAAAACGAACGTTCGCTACATGCTTTAAAGACGCGAAAGCCGCTGGTTTTCATAGTTAATAATGGTTTCAAAAATTTAACTCCTACACTACCGCCGTTCTGGTAGACCTACTGTGTGAGATTGTTCAGAGAGTTTATTGGATGTTGGGTCACCCACAACAAGTGAGACTCAATTAAAGTGTTTGCTGATGTCTTCAGAAGCTCGATATCTGCGTTCCTCGTTGGCTAAATCAGCTTAACTCAACTCGACAACATGCCAGTTGGAGCTCCAATCTAAAAAGACCGAAGTTGTGGTTCGTGATGAATCTGAATTGCACCTTGAGGTGACAATCTTGTTGGTGTTGTGGGATTGCGGGGCGACCAACTGATTAATTCCGATGTTTAATTAGCAACAACCAGTGAAACAGGATCAAGACACAAATAAGATCTGGCACTCCTCCTAAAAACACTGCTTTGTCAAAACACAGGGTAGTTATTGTTTCTTTTATCAGGCACAAATATAAAGCAAATATTCTCCTTTTTTAAAAAAAGTGTCGAGGATGCGTTGATAGATTTGTTGGGGAAATTTTCTTCATCCATCTAGAGTGGTGCTACGGGTAAGTTGCCTTTTTTGTGCACGAAATCAACTGAATGGATGAATATGCATTTTGTTTTCGCAAAATGATTCAAAAGTCGCTTCTTCTGCTTTAACCAACTGGATCGGAGCATGGGTTCACATTCAGTAGCGTCGGTGGCTGCCAAAAGCAAGGGTTTCGTGCTGGAAAGGAGTTGACATCAATGCGAGGAAGAGTTGCCATGGTTACACGCTTGGTCATTGTCACCCTGCTCAGATAAACATTGTCCCTATCTAGTGGCCACAGAGAGTGGTTAAGTCGTTCTTCTAACAGCTGCTATAGTTCGGGAACAGAGATTATGCGTAATTTTCTTTACGCAATACTCTTCGCGCAGACAAAAGTAGGTTCTAGGCGGTGTGATTGTTGGCATTACAATAGCCTCCAATATGTGCCCTGTTGTGTAATTTAAATCCTTTTGTGTGCAGAGTGTGTAATATTGTGATCTTTGAAAATGCTGTCTGCATAAGTGAAGCGGTAAATCCTGTTCCATCGTTTGCATGACTCTGGTTCCAGTGACCCATTGTGGATTGAAAATGTGTTTTCCGTGTTCATGCAGCACCTCATCGAACACTTGCTAAATCGTCGCTTGATGATGTGGCTTGCGCGCGCCCCTTTGCTTGTCCTGTTGGGGATGCCATCGATTGGTCTTGCATTTTCCTGCTTCAGATGAGGACGCTTGCCTCCAGGTCATCGGTTTGGACGTTTCCAGGACCTTCCCGATGCTGAGTATGTTTCAGCCAGATGCCCCGTACTGCCAGAGCCTTCATGACTTGCTGGCAGCCTACGTCTTCTTCCAGCCGTCGATCGGCTACCTGCAGGGCATGTCTTTCATAGCCGCCATCCTACTCCTCGTGTTGGGCGACGTGTACGTCGCCTTTGTTGCCTTCGCCACCATCATGAACAGACCCAGCTTCTACGCCTTCTACAGTCTAGATGAATCAGAGGTTCGAAGAATAACCGTACCGGTAGCTAACTGCTTGCTCCAACTTTGACGGCATGGGTTCATCTCCTTCTGATCTCAACGACCCAAAAGGTACTTACTCTGTAGGCCTCCTGCTTTGGCTATTAAGCATTGAAAAGTCCAGTGTCTAATCTGATTGTCTTTCTAAGGGTTGGTCTTAATGCCTTATGGTAATTAAGAGGTTTCGTCGAGACTATGTCCTTTTTCGCTGTGCTTTGTGTCAATCAAAGTCTGCCATTGGGCTAGTGCAAATCAAGTGATGCACAGCCCAAAACGTCTGCTTGACTAAACAGCACCTTCTACTGCATGTTATGATCAAGCCACCCAGAATCGATATAGCTGATTAGTCAGAACCGTGTATTGGCCAATGTTGTTAGCCTCCAGCCAGTAATAATTGGGTTGATTGATCGTCACACCGATGCAATAATTCGCCACCGTGATCTGCAACCTTGTGATTTGTCATTACTGAGATACGATCAAGTTTAGTTGTCTTCACAGAAAGTGGCTAAAACTGATTGGAATTGGTGAAAAAGATTGGCCTATCTGAAAATAGCTCAAGCTTGTGGGTAGTATTTTGTCTTAATGGCGATGGCGCACATGCAGGAAAGATGTCACTTTGCACGAATGAATCCTCAACCTTCGATGAGGTGCATATCACTGAAGTGTTTCGTTCTGCTCACTCCAGTAACATTACAGGACGTGAACCATAAACTTTCGATCGTGACTAGTCAAGTCGCATGTTCATTGCCACACCACACACACACGCATAGATATTTGCTTCATTGCAACCTTTGACAAATGCACTGCTTAAAACCATCAAACTTATAACCCATGTTTTACGATGTTCCGTCAATTCATTTGGTGTAGTGAATAGCTGTCTGTGGTGTCATAGCGAATAGCACCGTGCAATGCGTGTTGGTAGTTAATTCGCTATTGGCTGCCACTGCTAGTCAGGTGTTTCGTGCTTCTGCATGTGACGTAACGGATTTCCACAACCACTACTGCGTCGTTTACTGTGTCGAGTGGTGATTGAAATTTGGTAAAACATACCACTTTTTTTCTACTGCCACGCTAGACAACAAGGGGTTACAGGATCCAGTTTAGACGTCACTGTACCAACTTACTTTTTCTCCGAAATGCGAATTAGCATTAAATTTCATCCTTTTCTAAATTTCGTCGACATGCTTGTTAAGTGTGATTTTTTTCAAACTTCCGTCAGAAGCCATACAAAAGAGTCAATATGGTCTCCCACATAAGTGCTGTCACAGAAAAAAAACTCCATTTTTCTAATTTTGCCCCGATTGGTTCTGTACTGTTTCTTATTTTGAACCAATCAGCTTCACGACGTTGGAGTAGGGTAATTTATATGAAATCGAGCCCAGTAACTAGAGCAGGAGGTCTACACTGGAATTACTGCACGAGTTGTTGAGATTGGTGGGCCAGGTTAACCACTGCCATCCTCGTCTGTAAAGATTTCCGCAGTTGTGTTTTTTTATTGACTTGGGGCTTGGTGCTGTTATGTTGACCCTTCCTTACTTACACAAACTGCCCCCTTATGAATGCTTCCAATAAGCCATTCTAATGTTTTTGAATGTGAACTTATCACCGTCGAGTGTACTACCATGCGCTATTTTTTGCCTTAAAGTTCTCAACCTACTTTACGGCATTTGATATTTTGCTGGAAAATCACCTCCCACGTCTTCACGAGCACTTTGCAAAGTGCAAGCTCGATTCCAAACTCTACCTCTTCGACTGGCTCTTTACCATCTTCAGGTGAGAGGCATATCTGCCAATTTTTGGATAACAAGCACCACTTTGCTGTTATAAGCCTTATTTTGTCTTCTCAAATTTCCGTTTCGTCTTTAGTCGAAGCCTGCCACTGGACGTGAATTTGCGAATTTGGGATCTCTTCTTCCGTGACGGCGAGCCCGCTCTGCTGTCAGCTGCTTTGGGTATTATGAAGATGTACGAGGATCAGTTGCTAACTTACGACTTCGACCGACTGGCCTCGTTCCTCACCGGTCCTATGCCTGATTCTATGTCGCCTAACGATTTGGTAAGGTCCTTTTCATGGAAGCTCCAATTCACAAACGATTCAAAGCCTTGATTTGCCAACTTGTAGGCTGCTTGCATGCGAGCGCTATGTCCCTCGACTTTGGCGATCAAAAGTGCCCTTGATAAGGCACGGTCGCTCTCCACCTACGCCAGGCTCTCTTTGTACGGTAATCGTGCACTGGCGGAGGTGAGTGATGTATCCCTCCGCAGTACGATTACTATGGGAGACCTTGAAGATCACCACGACTCAGACACTAGCCTCTGGGGACTGCTAGGCATGTGTGGACGAAGACCAAAACACGGTGAGGGCGTGTCTTCATTGGCTCACAAACCGGCTTCGCTTACCTCGAAAATCCCTTTTATCAGAAAAAATCCCCATGCAAACGAGATCTGGTGTGCTCAGGTCAGCCTTGATTACCCTAAACGAAAATTCATCTAGATCCTGGGGGAGCTTCTTGATGGTCTTGCAAAACATAACACTACTACATTCGATTTGCTTCTCTTGTGTTTTTTTCTTCCCAGTTTACTTCTTATTTGTGAAATTTTTTAACAGAATATTTGTGCTGTGTGATATTGCGAATAGAATTGCAATCGAACCATTAACTTTATCTATAAGTGGTTCGTGCTGGGTGTTTTAAACTAATGTAAAACTAAACTAAATACAAAGACACCATGATCCTGGATGTAGGCTTTGGCCTCTATAACAGCATTATCTGTCAGTATTTTTAGAGAAAGCAAAAATCCTTACATTCAGGGCAAAAAAACATTATTAACTACCTACATATTTATCGGTAAGAAGCCTTGGAAAAATTTTGCAAATATTTAAAATATGCTGAATTTGAAAACTTTTTTTTTAAAACCCGATGTTTCTCTTCACAGCAGCTCCTCGGTCATTAATGACAATAAATGTTGTGAGAAGGTTTTGATAGTAGATATTTAATTAAAAAAACTGGGGCTGAGTGGAACCCTGTCGCAGAAATGATTTTTTAGGATAGTTTAACGAGGTTGTTTTAAAAGGAGTGGGATGACTGCAAAGTTTCACCATTGTCAATGTAATAACTTTAAAATTAAGTACGTTTGTCGTTAGGCTATTGCAATATTTCAATTTGGTTTATCCGAATAATTTTTTTTGGCTGTAAAATCCAAGTCCCAAAATAGCTGCGAATTAAATCTAAGTGGCATTAGGAATCAAATGTTTGCACAGTAATTATTGCATTTAGACATGGCAGTATTTCGAAATGATGACTAAAATTAGTTAACATTCTCTAACTTGTTTTAAACGTCCAAGTATATTTTTTTAGTGACAAAAGGGCCGAACCAAAACATTTTAGCAGTCAGATATAGCAAACAATAATTTATTGAAAAATGTTCTGGACAATAAAATTGCTCTAATAACAAAGCGAACTATGTTTACCATTATCTTGGTAAACCAGTTAGTGACCATATCAGATGCCCAAGAACACGGCACTTACTCGAGTATTGTAAATATTCCACATTTGGTGGCCCACAGACATATATTAACTGCCAAACAAGTGTGATACTAAGCAAAGTCCTCTCTACTGTTTGAAGTAGGGAATTATTCCGGTGATAATGCGAGTACGTGAAAAACTATTTGTTCCCGGCATTAGCAACTTAGTTCTTCTAATTTAGTCTAGTAGTTAATATGGTAATAATTCAATAGAAACACTATTATGTCACGAGCAATAATAATGTGTTCGTCAGCCTTTCGCATCCAAATGTCAAATCGCGGCTACCAGCAAGTTTTTCGTTGATTTAAATCTAGATTTCTGAATTAAATCTTCATTTACTAACCTAAAAAAAAGAAAATTGAATAAAGTTAAGCTCTAAGTGAGTCACTGGATATCTTGCATTACAAGCAATGAGCAAATTATGAGTTTAGTTTCTTGTTGATTCCTGCATCGATATTTCGAATCAAGGTACTTTCCTTTATTACTTTAAACTGCTTTCACTGTTTTTATACTGGCTTAATGCCTGGATTTCCAGTACAAAAATTTGCATAGCCAAAGCGGCCGCTTTTGTGGTGTGTGCGTGAATTATATAGGTAATTTGTATAATTCCATCTTGGTTTTTTTCTTAGTAAATTCGCGCAAACTGTGCGAGTGCATATCCAATTCAGCATCTTAAACAGCATTGTTTATTATGTGCTAGCTAAAATTTATACTTTGTATCTCCTCTGAACATCCTAACAATATACCATAAATATAAATCAGAAAATGTTTTGTTTTGTTGAATTAAATCGAGAAAGTATAGGGGATCTGACGTTTTATTAACCGATAATTTCCCGCGGAAAGTTGTGTGTGTTGGACGTCATCGGTATGTGTGGGCTGTTTGTACAATTAGCAAAGTTTAAATAGGTTCCTCCTGTACTGTCCCTAGTACCCAGTGCTACTTTTGCAGGTGTTGTGAGCTTTATCTTTAGTTTTTTTCATTCCTATGGATTACGGTATATATGCGTTTACTTGTCATGAAGTCTTGTCAAACTTGATGCCTGATTTTCATATATATTTTTTTCCAATTGGGTTCAATTTTTATAAATGAAAAATGAATGTTCATTTAATAATTGCCAGTGAATTAAAATGCTTATCTATTACCACAATTTTTGCTTCCCATTAATGTATGGCTCAAGTCTAGTATTGACTTCGGCTTTGGTAAAGTCAAGTTCTTAGTATCTTTGACAGTGCATACATTTGCTTATGCTTTCATGATTACATTTCTAGGAAGACTTCTAAATTTGTCAACTTGGCAATATGTGTTCATTTTCACATAATTTGGTGCTGAAACTCCGTTTCCATTGCAACTGATAATTCGGTACCGAATGTCTTCGTAATTACGTAAAAACGCAATTTGAGTAACATAAGTACTGAGCCGAAGAGGCAACTCTGAGTTAATAAATGGCTGTAAGGTGTAATTCTAATGTTTAGCTACGTATGAATGTAGCAGCGACTTTCGTTGTTAACTAGCTTTAGATATTTTCAGAGGTTTTTTTTTTATTTTTTCTTTCAAATCGCGCAAATTGCTACAACCGCTGTACAGTTTTAGCATTTTATGTAAATTAACATGGCTATTGTGGGAATCGTCTTTCCATTTTAATCTTTTAACGTTTCGGGTCTATCTCATGAATGCCTAAAGTATTTTTCTGACGTTTTTCTTGTCTAAGCAAATTTCTTGAAAGTCATGTTTTGTCGAGTGTTAATTTTACCCTTTTTGGTTTGCTAACAACGTCGAAAGCTAACAGGTTTATGCATCAGCATTCAAATCTACTGAATCTAATTTCAAAATGTGAATCGCAAAAATGTTCTGCAAATTACAAAACCCACTTGCTGCTTCCCCCCTATCACACGCGGCCTTTTTGTTTATTCGTAGCGATTCGGTCATTTTCACGTATTTTTTCGAGTATATGGTAATTATGCACTACCTCGAGAGGCGGGTTCATACTACACTATTGCACGCCACCTTAACCGATATTTTACACAATTGTGTGCTCTGATAATCTAACTCATCCATTTAATCCTGTAGGTCTGTGGTGATGTTATCTGAACGCCTCTTCGTGATTGTCGTGGCTTTTCTGCTCCCCCTTTGTACACCAACGGAAATCGAAGCCCCCAACACTATCGAGTATTTCTGTTATGATTCCGAATGTTCTGCGCCATTGTATGTCGGCACGGTTATTCACAACATCGACGAGCTTTCACTTACTCAAGGTTCCAAGGTTGAAGTATACGGACGTTCAATTGTGGGTAACAAGTACCTCGTCAAGGTTGGGGATAAATTTTACAACGTGCATAATAATCTCATTTACGTGAGGGATCTCAATGAGCCTCGGGCACGAGAAACCGTAAAGATGCCTGACCTAGTTGACGACAGGGGGATTTCTCGGGCGGATATTCAGCTTGCCGTCTCTACCAAATCCGAACCTGTAGTTCAAGTAAAGTATGACTTGAGTACTGCAAACACGAAATTCCCAGCGAATAAAAATAATGAACGGCAATTAGAGTCCGATGAACAGACATCGCCTGATCCGCATTCACCAGTCCCACCACCTGCTACCGTAGAGCGTGTCGTGACGGAGTCCGTGAAAGAAAACCAGACGACAACGGTCGAACCCACGGCGTCAGTAGTGCCACAGATGGCGCACATGAACGCCCAAAATTCACCCCAAATAATGTCGGCGAACAGCTTTTCAAGTGGGCAAGCGACAGCGTCCGTGACCCTCAGAGAATCATCAAAAAGCAAGTCGCCTGATCATTTTGTAAACCCAACTCAAATCTTGAACAATGTTTCGGTGCCATCAAACGCTTCAGTTACTCAAGAGTCCACCATTTCGGATTCATCCGTATCACTAGCTGGTGTTTCTGAACATCGTTTAAATTCTCCGTCGGTTGACAAAAAACCACAGTCACTTGATCAGGAAGCTCCTTCGGTTCCAGCTAAACAATTACAGCCTTCTCTCAAGTCAGAGCCTTCAACCAGTGATATAGGTACCTCGGAGCAGCCTACATCTAATGAACCAGTAGATCAACAAGCTTCTAATTTACCAGATCGTAAACCCGAAGCCCCTACAACGGAGCTCAAGCGCAAACAGCAGAATTCTTCGTCAACACTATTGCCACAGGATGCTAGTCAACGACAACCTGCAAATCTAACAGCTCAATCAAATTCTGACCCTGTGGTTCCGTCGGACTCGGGAGTCAGCGAACAACCTGACCTTTTTCCTAGTGGTCATATTAAGTCATCTCAAGAAACGGGGACAACCGAATCGGAAGCCTTTGCGCATTCGCCCCAACAACAAACACGCCATCCAGATCCTGAAATTGCCGACCTAACTACTCAAATTTCGCCTTCTTCTTCTTCGTCGCCCAAACCAAATGAGCCGAGCACTCCGACGCGATCTCCTGTTTTACTTACAGACTCGTCATCGGAACACATATCTAATTTTGATGATAATTCCAAATCTGAATCAGTGTCTGAGTCCCCGCGGCATGAACTATCGCCAGCAGTTCTTGAACAGGAAAAAAGCCACGCTGGTCAACAGCCGCCGCCACCACCGAAAGACATAATAAATGAATCCGCTTTCTTCCACTGTTTATCCTATGCTTCTGGTGGCGTTCTTCCCGTTAGTGATGAGCGACTGGTCTCCGAGAAGTCTTTTTTGGCTGGCTTGATTTTATTTTTCGGTCAGCATTACTTCAACCTCGCACAGGCGCTCCTAACACAGCTTCCGATCGCATTCGTTTCTTCTCTCGATACCTTCCTGACGCTTACCTTCCAAATGCCACTGGTGTTCTTAACTGCGTGGGTGCTGTGCGTTTTCTCGGTCCTCGTAGCCTGTATACTGGCGAAACTGCTCAACCGGTGTGTGTATGGTACCACGAAGAATCCCTCCAACTGCGTTGCCAGCCGCTCCCTGGCCGATTGGATGGCGATCGAGGAGAACGCCAACCTCCTGGCATCGAGTCTTGCTGAAAAGGAAGAGGCGTATGCTCGGCTGATTGTTTGGTCGACAAAAGTTAACGAACGCTATGAAAACCAAACTCGCACCTATTCCAACTCGACCGCGCGGATTCAAACGCAGTTGCGTGAGGCCAAAGCTGCTTTGGCAGAAAGTCATCGCGAAAACCGGGAACTGAAGGACACTCACGACGAATTGGTGCAGCAGCTCGCCAAAATTAAGCAAGAAGGCTCCGCGTCTGCTGCTCAGTTGTCAAAGGAAATTGCGTCGTTAGCATCTCAACTTGAAACACGTGCTCGCCAATACGAAGAGTCTATTAGTGAGAAGGAAAAAAGCACATCGGAAGTGGTCAGTGCTATGCGAAAGGAAAAAGAAGCCTTACTAGAGCAAACTAAGAATTACCAGCTGCAGTTGGCGGACGTTGAAAAAGCCATGATTAAATTGACCGAATCGAATAGCCGGTTTGAAGCGGAGCTGGCATCACGTGACCGCGAACTTGGTGGCCTCCGAGAAGTCTTCATTCGTCTCAAAAGTGCGGAACTAAAAAGAAGGAAGAAGAACGATGAGGGGACTTTAAAAACCACTGACAGAGTGAGCCGTGAAGATAATTCCCCTACTACAGATGGATGGGAGGTAGAAGATGAGGTCGATTTCGATGAAATCGCTGGTAGTACTGAAGAAACTGAGAACAGGAGTGATGAGGAAGCGGAGCTTCAATCTTCACTGAAAGACTTTTTTGATGCTGGGCGCCTCAGAGCAGCTTTAAATGAGTCTGAGAAAAAACTCCGTATGGAGTCAACTCGATGTGAGCAAGAGGCGGAGCTTCGTGTTCAGCTACAGAGTGAATTAGCTAGATTTAAGTGTGAAAATGCAGACCTATCGCAGAAGCTAGAAGCATTGACAGAAGACTATAATACCTCCAAGAAGAAGCTCGAAATTATCTTGGAGCACGAGGGTCTGCTGCAGAAAAACCTGGATCGACATGCTCTGTCAGAGTCGGAGACAAAGGAAGTGCTCACCTATCTCCGCAGTAAACAGCGTGCTCACGACCTCGAAGTCGAACTTCTTCGTGAGCAGCTTACCTCAGCGCGTCGTGAGTTGTCGGGGTCTGAGAGTGCTAATCGACGTCAAATACGAGAATTAGAAAACCGAGTTCATGAATACCGGCATTCGGCCCGGGCATTAGAGAAGTTGGTTGAGGATTTGCGTGACGAGAATGCCACATTGCGGCAGAAGATGTTCACCGGCGATCGTGATGCCCTGAACCGGCTCATTTCACGTGGCCTTGGGATCCCTCCCCCACCGCCACCACCACCACCGCTCCCTGCCACGCTAACTACGGCAAAGTCCCCGGTGGTGCGTTCGCTGTCCCGTCAGTCGGACACCGTCGTCGGTAAACATCCGCCTGTTCCTCCCTTCCTCGCGTTTTCGCCTATACCCTGTGGAGGTGGACTTGCCTCTCAATTTGTTCCTCCTCCTCCACCGCCGCCCCCCCCTCCACCGCCTGGCACACACCCTCGGCCTCAGCCTGTCGGACCGCCTGACCGAACCAAACAAGCACATTCTCGTGACTCTGCTTAGCTGCAATGCGGTTGCGCGTTCACGAAGCAAATCCAAATCTTATCCATTCAGCCTGACAATAAACGTCCCCGTGCGTCTCGTGCCTTGTGCATTTAAGAGACTATATCAGTCGAAACTGTCACATTGTCTTTCCCTTCCTTAGAACACGCCTTTCTAATGCGTTGTCAATTTTTCGTCAGTTTTAAGGTTTTGCCGCGATGTGTAAATATCGTTTATTTCGCTTGTAATATTGTCATGCTTTGACACAAATCTGGACTCTCGACGGGTTCTGTGTGCTGCTTTTGGGGTGAGAAGATATGTCATAAAGGGTGGTTAGTGTGTTGTGTGGGCTATTTATGACGCAATCTAATGTGCATCCACTTGGATGTCCTTAAATTCGGTTAGGTCATAGATGTTGGGAGTCGTTTGTTCAAAAATTGCTGAGTGATTTGGCCGATCTTCTCGATGTCTCCCGTCAAGTACCTTGGTGGAAGTGGAGGTCGCATTTGTGCGTAGTTTTGCCAACTTTCAATTTTTGCTACAGTATCATGTGGTTGTTTCAGAAGAAATTACACAAATGCGATTGGTAGAATCTCGGAGAGATTATACAAGGATCGAAGGTCCCCTGTCTTGATAGTCACAAAAAACGACATCTGCACGTATATTGATAGTTTAGTGTCAAATTAGGAGCGGTAGGAGGGAAGTGCTTACGATGTTCGTTTGCGTCATACATGTAGTCCGGAATCGGCGGTCTGTTCAACCGGACGAGCATGTGACGCGGATTTTATGGGGAAGGTCTTGTCAAGCACGAGGTGTTTCCTGACACTAGCTATGGACGGCGACCAATCCAGATCTCTGTTGATGCTACGTGCGTGATTTTCACCCATTAACAGCGGTCGGAGTTGGTGGAAGCTGTATTATCCGGGGTATTTTAGCAATGCGTAGCCCAAAGGCTCAGTTATTCACAGTTGAATGTGATCCATAACCCAGATTTCATTTCAGACAGATTGAAGTCCAGCGGCTTTAACCTAGGGTCGTCGACATAGTTAACAGTAAATTTTAGAATCAGTGGCTTCAACACGCGACTAGCGGTACTGGTGTCTCTCAGGTAGGAGAACTCTGATCGATGCCAAAAGTGCCCATCAAATTGACAGGAAGGAAGGGTAATTTTCTTAGTCGTCGGGTCACACGGACTGACAACGCTACGCTAATCCTGGTCCCGCCAACTAAATTCACACGATCGAGTAAACAAGATAGTAGGTCAACGCAACAAGGTATGAATTTGCAAAAGCAGTTAACGGAAAGACGGGGTCAGATTTACATGGCAAAAGGAAGAAGTACAGGTCAGAGGTAGTTGAGGATAACCATAAGGAAGCAAACCTTCCCGAAAGCTGACTGAAAGACGAATGGAACAGGTTTAGGCAGATAAGAAGTGCGTGGAAGACAGTCACCGTTTGGCCATCCTTCGGCGTCGACGCTCAGCCTCCATGGCTATGTCTTCGTCATCTTCTTTCTTGGCGAGGCGCAAACTGGTGGGAAAATGAAACAAAAACACATTTAAGCTAGGATGGAAAACTGCCAGTGAAGGAATTTTAAAAGTAAACACTACACGAGATAACTACTTTCGGCTGATTCAGTTCGACCCACTGGAGGTCTGTGGTCAGGCGTTCATTTATCAGAGTTAAGTACACGGTGATAAGTTTCATCTAACCAAAATGGAACAACTAACCAAAGAGCAGGGCATTTCGAAATTTCGCATAACAATTAAAAGTCCCCCACTCAAAAAGTGCTGGAAATCGACAAAATAATGGCAAAAAATGAGGTATAATCCACAGCTAAGGGTGGCTACTAGGCGGCAAGTCAGTAAAAGGCACGCCGACGCGTCCACCATTAAACTCTAGTGCAAATCCAACAGAAATGATCACTCAACTAATAGCACACAGGCAGTGTCAGATGAAGAGTTCAAAGCAGTAATTGGAGCAGATTTCGAACAAAAGTGCCACCATTATACGGTTTATGCACGATCATGGTGAAGTATGCGAGTAAAACTGCGATGTACTTTGAACAACTGGTACTTGACCTTAAGAACGGACAAACGTGTCACACACCACATGAATCAAAAGAAAGAAGCAACACACAGCAAATTCGTTGATGAAGTGACCAAACTTTCTAGATTAGTTCATTTCAAATACAAATACCTGGGAACACGTACCTGAGTTTTTCTTCCTTCTCAATCTGCCGGTAGGACGACTCCATCGTGGAAAGATCATCGTATTTGCTAACTTTTGCATACTTAGACGGATCAAAGTGTAGCGTTTCGTGGATATCTTTGACGGCCTTAACGTATTCCTTAGCGGATGTGTAATCTGAATCGTCAATAAAACTATCGTCACTGGCGTAGTCTTCACTATCTTCGCACGAATTGCCTCCTGGCGAACGGCAGCCGAGCGTACTGAACGGCACAGACCCATACTGAGCAGCAATACCCCGCAGCGCAGGCACAACTGGCTTACTCACAGCGGATCTCAAGGGCTTAGCTTCCAAATTTGGCCTTGGAGGCTCAGCTTTGGCTGCACCCGGTTTCCCGTCAGTCGGACATCGTCGGTAAACACCCGTCTGCTTATGATCAACAGGCTTAGGAACCATATTTAATGAACCATTGGACGTAGACCCAACGAGGGGCGGCTGAACGTGGATGGGACCGTTCACTCTCGATGATGAGAAACCTAGTTGAGCGGCAATACCCGCAGGCCTAGATTTCGGTTTCACATCAGGGAGTGGAAGTTGGGAGGGTTTTTGGCCCACCCGAGGCACCATTTTAGAAACTGGCTTCGAAGAATTAAGGGGCAATTTAGCGGTCTTAACTGCAGCACCTAGACAACGTTGTGTTTGGGAAGCATTATTCGCCTTAAGTGACAACTTTGCGTTATTACGTTTTTCAAGGGTCTTGGAAAAAACGGTGGACACACTTTTTGAGGAAGAAGGAGCAGAAGTCCAACTTTTTTCGACACCGTTATGTATTGGCAAGTGATGTGAAACAGAAATTTTATCTCCAGCAGAATTCAACTGGCGGGTTTCGCTGATGTCATGACGTGCGTTTGGCTTCTTGACAGACACTATTGGATTAAGCTGTTTTGGTAATCGTTTGCAAGAGGTGAGGGTGTGCTGACTCTGATCATTAATCGAGCCATTCGTTGAAGACATTTGGGGCGCTGCAATGCGTGATTCTTGATTCGATGATGGACGGTTGAGTTTTGGTATCCTAACACCAATTTTCCGACTGGACACAAAAACCGACCCCGAAGAACTTGCTCCCATTTCTTCCAAGGCATCCATCAAAGAAGATGGCTTCTTCCGTTTTATGGCTCCGGGGACATATTCTGGAGCATCAAGGTCTACGCCAATACCGGAGGGTACGTAAGGCTCAGGTTCAGATTGTACGGGTTGTGAGGAGCTATCTTTATTAAGGGCATGAACCTGAGCTCCGAGATTTCTGGATAAAGCAGCGACACATATTTGTCTCGAAGGTTTGTTTGCTTTTTCAATATCACGACGTTCCTTCAATTGCCGTTCCCTCTTCCTTTTAAGCTCATCGCAAATTTTTTTGACCTAAAACTATAAAAATATTAGTGAACTACCTTATAGTCATTTTCAGTTTGGTTTTTTTCTGCTAAACGGAGAAAAGACTCGAAATTCGATACCAAGCGCATTCTTCACAAATTTTGATACGGGCAGCCTACGATAAATTAATTTAAACGAAATATCTTTAGCATTACAATCACATTTTTAATCAAATCAACCCTAGTCAAACGTTTCATCAAAATAAACAGTAGATTTTATCAAGTATTTCGGAATTTATTCTCCAAGTGTAGGTATTTGCGCTTCATGCACAATATTTGTAAGAATAATTTTCCTTCTAGATATTTGGAGTACTCCGACATCTCGCCAATATTAAAAACTCTCTGACGCAACCCTTTATACAAGTATGTCATTCGTAAACGTTTATGTGCGATTGATATAATTTAAATACGCAACATCCCTAACCGCCATTATATTTATCAGTAAATATCCCACTTAATTTGGTCACAATGAATAAATTTCAGATTACACAATCTTAATTTACGCAAAATATTTGTCGTTGCATATATTATATATGAAATCAAGTGAGATTATAAAACCGAAGTTGCCAAATTAATATCTGATGGGCTTTCTGTGAATAGAACCAGTATGTCGAAGAATGCGAAGAGAAGGCCGACAAACGTGAATCAATATGATTTACTCTAGCTTGTGACATAACCGACGAATGGAAATACCAGCTAATTAAATGCTGTCTTCAAAATTAATTGCCTTTGATACCTGTATGCATATTGCTCCCTTTTTTAATCCGCATGGAATGTGCATGCCAAGTTTATTAATGCATGGTTTAACTGCGTGGTTTTTCACGTTGTCTATTTTTTATATATTTATCATTTTAACTTGAAATTTAGAGCTTTGTGGACTGACTTAACCCAACTTAATTTTATATTTATAATTATCTCAAACCAAAACACTTAAAAAAATTACACAAGTGAATTTCTGAGATTCACCTCAGTAGCATTATCCAATTTTGTAAATTTCTTTAGGGAGTGGAGGTGTACATAGCTTCAATAGTTTTATCAAATAAACAAAAATAATGTTTCATCTTTTTGGTCAGAATAGTTATGCTGGTGTAACAGCAATTAAAATACTGTAGTTTGTCGTTTGTTACTTACATTTTCTAATTAACTACTTATTGGATTGCCACATCATTGCTTTGGATTTCCTTCGTGACTTTCCTGCTTGACTCATAGAATGTGGTCTGGCCTCTCAATCCTTTCCTCATTAAACACACTCAAACCCATAAATGTCGAAATATTGAAGTAATACAATCTGGCAACCACAATTGATTGGCTGTTACGGATGCTCACTCGAGTCAAGAGACGTAATAAATGTGTTTATTTGAACCCCAGAAAATAATATTTGATCGTTTAAAACCTATGAAAGCATTGGGAACAATCTAAGCACAATCAAATTAAAGATGATGCATAACATGAGATGCATATGGGCAAGGCCTGCCTTAAACAACTGTAAAGCCTACAATACTTTGGTTGATGCATTCATTTTGAGATCGACCCTGATAATCAAGTTGTATCAGTGGAATGGTCACATTGGGGTAATGTCATTTAGCATGGAGGGGTGGTTACCGATGTTCCATTTTGAACTTCCATCGGTGCTGAGGGCAAGTCTAGAGTACCCGATTTCTAGTATGAATACTAACACAACAGAACAGACTTTATTGACTAATCACAAGCCAGAATGAAACATCAGTTGCCCTCCATCGGAGTCAACCACGCTGGCTGCGCCACTCTTTACATATAGCACCTAGCTAACGTTCTTATCTGGTTGGCTGCTTATTTTCCTTGCATGCCATTGGAACGCAGTGAGACACGGGTTTGGCTGAAGTCGGGTGGTCCAATGTGTCTGCGCCCTGATCCGTCGCCACTGTAGAATACCCGAGCCCTAATAGGAAAAAGACCGGTACAACAGAACAGGCTTTATTGACCAATCAGAAGCCAGAGCCACGCATCAGGCGCCTTCCATCCGAGTCCACCACGTTGGCCACGCCGCTCATTATATACTGCATCTTC